ACACACACACACACAGATCCCTGACCTACCGAAGAAAAGCAAATGAAACCAAAGGTTGTGTTACTCCAGCATGCAGCTCATCAACCTTCACATGACACTATGTGAGTGAGTAGCCATCATTTATCATTTGAGGCCAAAATAAACTAGCCTGTTGTGAGCCGGCCCTGCTAATGACACCTCACAGCAGCCTCACGGTTCCCATCGCCCATCATTAGCCACGTGAAAGATAACCCTGTAGACTGGGAGTTGTTGCTCATTAAACACACTAACCACGTGTTAGCCTCCCCCTCTCACCTACCCCTACCTCTGCCTAAACAATTCACAAATCAATGCAGACTTTTGGATGACAAAATGTGTTTCATAACCCCCTAAAAATATGCCTGCACCTTCTTTATGTAAGACTGCTGAATGTCATGACAGCATGTCTAGAACTACGGAGCTCTTGGATAATAAATATTAAACCTTCCAACAGTTAGAGATTTTTCAGTCTGGACCAAAGTGGTCGTCTGGTCGCTAATGTGGCTAAAAATGTGTTCTTATTGCCCTCCATTTTCTATAAAAGAACAAATAAAACAGCGATGTTGTTTAAAAATGATACTTTTGTTTTCTTTTGGTAAGAGTTAAACTATGCAGTAATCCTGCCCAAAGCACAGTTGGGCTGAGTGGAAATATCCACTTATTGGGTCTGCATGACAGTGAGCAGAGTAACACCACCTCCTCTCTGCAGCCCTGGCTGATAGAGTGTGGAGTCTTCCAGTCTAGGAGGCTGAGTCATGCAAATACTGTGCCAAAAGCATGAAAACCTCACACTGCAGACTGGGACAGCTCAGACTGCAGTGCTTAATTACTTGGACAGATGCACATATGAAACGCTCTTCATCACCTCCATTATTTACAGGATAAATGTGGTGAAAGTCTATTTTTCTTATTGTCAACAAATCCCAAAACCAACAATGAATTGATTCCACCAACAAGTATTCTCTGTGCAGCTAAAGCTTGGTAGCTCATTCCTGCCACAGACTTCAATTGTTGTCCAAGAACCATAAATAAACATCACATTTAGACTGGGTGACATGTTACTTCTGTTTGAGTAAAGCTTCAATTTAAAATATTTACTATAGGGTTTATAAAACTGGATGGTTTAGGTCAAAATAGATTTCTCATCTTCTGATACATTATGGACCACTGTGGCCTCTCAGGTTGTCTGGTTGTCCATAGTGAACAAGCAGTATTCTGTTTCTATGTGCCACATACACGGAGAAACTTCAAGAAAACTTGAGGTCAGTTCCAACTCTCAGTTCATTTAAAATGGAGGCTTAAATCAGTTTCACTGCCTTTTATTAGAGACCCTTTACACTAACAATGATTACAAGTTGAGTTGTCCCATCCTAAGATAACAGCGATGCAGAAGAGGTGTAAGTGATGGAGGAGAAATCACCCGTGTGCCTGGTCTACCGGTGTAGGGGTTTTAAATAAATGTTGGGCTATTTAGTCGTATGCATGCACGTACTGCACTGTCATTTTTTATTTCGTTTTTATTTTGAATTAGATACTAACATCAGCATGGTAATATACTCACAGTGATGATGATAATATATTCATGTGTAGAAGATATAATGTTTACCATGTTCCTAGTTAAGGATGTTAGCATGCTAACACTTGCTAATAAGCACTTAACAAGTACCAAGTACAGCTGTGGCTGATAGGAATCATTATCTTTGCATGAATTTAGTCATAAACTTATTTTTAGTATTTTTCTTTTTTCCTCTAAATCCTGCGGGGGACGAGAATTTCTGAACCAAATTTCCTTGCAATCCATCCACCACTGTGGTGGACCGACGACTTTGTCATCCATAAAATCACAGCACTATTACAGTCCCCATTCATTTTATGTTAAGGTTGAGCCTCATTTGAAAATAAATGAAACTACAGCACTGTTGAGAGACAGACTGACACATTGTTGGTTGAAGATCCCATTAGCTCACCTTGTTTGGCTCACATGCAAAAAGACAACAGTGCACTTCAACAATAGCTTAAATTATTTAAACACCTGTACTAAACTGATACCCGAACCAATCACATTCAAATAAAACAGTGGTGGTTTTTAGCTCAAAGAATAACTGTGAATAACTAAAGATTTATAAGGCCGGGTGATGCCTGTATTTACCTTGGCATTCTGTCTGCCTTGATTCAGCTCCTGCAGAATAACATAAAAGGGAATAACTTTAATATGTGAAAAGAAAAAAAGAAACAAGATTAAAGGAAAGGGGACAGAGAGAGAGAAAGAGGTAGAGGAATAAAAAAAAAAGAGGCAGATCTTCACTGAGATGGAATTTGTTTTGTCAATATCAACCTGACTAATGGCAGATGAGGAGTTGCCCTGATGAAGCTTCAAGGCCTCCAGATGTCTGGCGATTGCACCTTTTCATTTATTATTCCAAATGTTTTCTTTCATGTTGGGTTTGGACTTTTTTTTTTTGTGTTTTTTTAAAGAGGATTCACCTCCATAACAACAGCTCTCTGAGGCTCAGCGGTACTTTTCCCTGCTGCACCAATAAACATCAATCACAATTCCTTCTCTATACACTGCAGCCAGACAGCAATACACACGTAATGGGAGCTTCTCCTGCTGGATATATCCCAAAACACTCTTTTGGGAGGCTTCAGCGCTCCAAATGGCTTCTGGGCTTTGAACCACTGCTAACAGTCTGTTTTAAAAAAAAAAGAGGAGTGATTGTTCATTTGTAGGCGCCAACCTAAACAATCTTCTGTTAAGCATTTACCAGTTCTGCTGACTCCATCTCCTATTCTCCACACGTTCACCGTTCTGTCCATGGAGCCGGTTGCAATCCACGGCATGGTGGGAGACAGAGCAACGGCAGTCACATACCTGCAGGGAGGAGGAAGAGGAGTAGAAATGTGAAGGGGTGTGTATGACAGGCTAAAACTGGCACAGGAAGAGATCGGCTTTAAAAGTCAGGTTCCCTCCACCCTTAAAAAACCCCCCAGTCTTAGATCGTACAGTATCTTAAATCCTTTCAAGCACTTCAAAGCTCTCCGCTGGTGTCTACCTGCAGTGCCACTTCAATGAATGTCTAGAAAGCAGCGCTTGAGAATATGCTATTGCATCACTGCACCCGGTGCTTCTGGGAAAAACTAATCAAGCAAAAATCACACGTTTTGATCCGAAAACACTGGGGCTCCTATTCTGCTGTCTGTCTGATAGCTGCAGAGATTGCATAGCAGCGGGAGGTCAGGTCATTTACCTTTCGTGCTGTTTCAGAGTGTAGAGCAGGGTTCCCAGGTTCTGTAAACAAGGGGCAACCAAACAGACAAAACAGGAATGTTCGGCATCTCTGTGTTTACGGCGGCTGTGATTTATTCTTTAGGAATCTCTTCGGCCACAGCTGAGCTCGACAAAATAGTGTTTTTTGTGCATTACTTACCGCATCATATAATGCGACAGTTTTATCCACTGAACTGTTGAAGAATCGGAGAGTAAACACATTTTATTTGCATGATCCATATGCATGCATTTGCATTATAGAATAATAAAACAATGGAGTCTTGTCAAACAAAAACACACACACACACACATTATACAAATGTTTCTAAGTGCTACGAACAGAGCACAGATTAACCTCCAATATGTTTGAATTAAAGCCAGAAACTGCAGAGGGACACAAACGGAAGCTTATACACAATAAAATACACTCCTCCTGTGGCCGACAGAGGGAACAGCAGCGCTCAGCGGTGGCATCTGCTGTTTACAGCACCGACAAAAAGGAGCAATTTCAACACGGAGGAGAGATTAATTTAAACCTAATTTGTCCCAACTGAGCAAGTGATTTCACAGCAAACAATAAAAGGAATGACTTTACAAAGCCCAAGCCTGATAGGCACACAGGAGGTGTTTATTAGTGCTGCTCACACATGTAGAGACAACAAGAGGTGATTTCTGCGTCTTACCCCGAGACAACCAGCTCTCCGTCAGAGGAGAAGGCACAAGACAGAACTGGAGCCGACTGGCTGGTGAGAGTGTGAAGCAGCTTCATGACACAGGCTGAGGGTCAACACACACACACACACAAAGAAAGAAAAGGTTAAGAGTTCAAAAGAAAATTGTGTCGGTATTTGTTCCATAAATTGACAAAAAAAAAACTACTAAAAAGTATTCTCTGAAACTGACACACAAACACTTCAAAGTGCATCACCGTCTTTATTCTCAAAACTTTTTGTCAATACCTCTCCTCCCTCTTGCTGACTTGCAGCTGTGCCACCTGCTGACAGCAGCTTGGAAACAAAATATTTTCTTTTTGGCAATAGACCTGAGACATTCACAGCCTCAGATACAAAGACACAGCAATAACTCATTGTGCAATAACTCCATGTGCCACAACTAATTGGTCTGTAGCAGCATTTAAATGATCAGCCTGTAAACACACATGTATTAAATCTAACCTCCCTCTTCTCCATTAGATTAAAAATACTGTTTTCAGGCTCTGTGGGAGGCTAATTTGTTATTTGCATGCATAATCACGATGTCCCACACTTCTGAGTAAAGAAAAAGAACAAAAACGCATTATTAAACCTGACAAAGCTGAACACTTGAGACATCAAAATCAAACTGATGTAATGTGTGTTTGAGAGGCTGGGTGAAAGAAAATAGATTTTAGCTCCAAACTGACCTGGAATAAGACCACTTCCTATATAGGCTGCTACACTAAGTAAGCATGGCTAGAAAATGTTCCTACAGACAGTAAAACCAGCTTTAAGTTTTGGCCCCCTGGATTCCCTAAATCATCTACACTTGACTCTCTTTCTCACAAAACAGTACAAGAAGGCTTCAACCGTTGCAAAGACAAGATAAATGCACATTTCAGAAAGGCAAACTTGTCGCAAGCTCCTCCGGAGAGAAACACAAAATGATCTGAAAAAAAACCACGACATTTTTAAAGAAATGAAACGAGGACAGACATTGTTCTGTGTCCTTCTACAAGCTGCTCAGAGATGAAAAATCCCCAAGGGCCGCAGCGGGTCACCACATGGGACACATCGCTTCCTCCCCAGAAACGTCTGTTACCACGGCAACACATCTCAGGAACTAACAACATGGCGTGTTCACACAGTCCGTAGGGTTTGGTTATGCAACCTACGAGCATACACGAAAATGTTCTTGTTCTGCTGTCGGTTGTACAAGATATAAATGTCACGGTGGATATATGCACCTGGTTTCCTCTCAACTCTTCTCCACACACACACACACCACAACACACACACACACACACGCACAGTCCTCTGCTGCTGCCGTATTCCAGCAGAATCTCTTAAAGTGATCCATAATTAATGAGCCAGTCTGCAGCTGATTTATTCTACACTCTAATAAAATTCTTCTGTTCTGCAGGAGAGATTTCAAGGTTAAAGCAGTCAGCAGTCTCTCTCTCTCTC